CACAATTAAATATTCGGGGGGACACTTGGGGAAGAGCGGGGTAAATTATGTCATATACATATATATATATATATATATATATATATATATATATATATATATATATATATATATATAGCGCCGGCAGCCGCCCCTAAGGCGCCACGGGCCGCGTCATCAGCAACAGGGCCCTCCGTTTCCGCAAGCTGTGCACATTTTCCCAGGTGTTCGGGTCGTTGCGTGTCGAAGACTACAGCGTCCATCACCACTCAGCATGATATTAGAGGCGCGCTAATCTGCTAAGGAGTGCGGATGTTACGTTCACGAGGCTCCTTAATGTCATATTCTATAACGAGCGATGCACATATTTTTAATAATTAGTTTACGCCACCCATATTTGCCACGTTGTTGAACAGGTCAAACGCAATTTGTGCCAAGGCACCTCAGGATGAAGGATTGGAGTACCATCCTCTAACAGACACATGGAAAGGCAAAGGTCGGAGTACCTGTTGTCCGGGGCAGCATGCTGAACTGTGTCCCCACAGGAGGTTTACGGCGAACACCGCGACAGCGGCAGAGAGCAAGCCGGGACAGGACCAATACACCCGGAATCAATGAAACTTTAGCAGGCTCGTCTTGGCGCTGGACGTAAAACGACCACGGCCTGGACAGGGGTGGACAGCATTAGTATTGGCTTTCTCGCTCACACCGTAAACATTATTCTCACTTCTTGACCAATGTGGCCGACCGGGACTGCAGCAACTCTATAAAACAGTGCATCACTATAAAGAAATATCAGATCGCCTAACCTATGCTACATGTCCACTCTGTCATATCTGCATACCAATCAGCACATGCCATGCTATATATAGCTCGCTAAACAAAGCTATTTCGGACCGCGCGCGGCCCGCGCCGGCCAAACGAGACAACGCCTGACGTTTAACGAGCGTCGATGACACACGGTCGCAATTCAAAGGCTGGTTTGTACCTGGGCGGGCGGCGCCGTCTGCTCCCGCCGAGGGTGTGGCGGCCGCGTGCCACGCCCCGTCTCTGCCGCGCGGCGCGGCGGGGCGGAGCCGTCCGGCCGCGCCGCCCGGGACCCGCTGTTCCGAGGCCCGAGTAGCGGTCCCGGGCTCAGCCGGCGCGTCATGGCGTCGGGCCGGCCGGCCTCTGGGGCCCCGGCCCGCACCCGGAATCCTGCCGCCTCTGGGCCCGGGCACCCGGACTCCTGCCGCCTCTCTTGTGGGCAGGTGCACCCGGAGACTCCTGCCGCCTCTGGGGCCCACGGTCACACCTGGAATTGAGCGGCTTCTGGGGTCCCGGCCGCACGCGGACTCGAGGCCGCCTCTGGGGCCCCCGGCCCGCACCTGGAATCGAGCGGCTTCTGGGGCCCCGGCCGCACGCGGACTCGGTGCCGCCTCTGGGGCCCCGGCCGCACCTGGAATCGAGCGGCTTCTGGGGCCCCGGCCGCACGCGGACTCGTGCCGCCTCTGGGGCCCCGGCCGCACCTGGAATCGAGCGGCTTCTGGGGCCCCGGCCGCACGCGGACTCGTGCCGCCTCTGGGGCCCCGGCCGCACCTGGAACCGAGCGGCTTCTGGGGCCCCGGCCGCACGCGGACTCCTGCCGCGTCGGCCACCTCCGGCCGTCGCGAGCCTCGATGCGACACGGGACCGGCCCGGGCCGCGCGCGCGCGAGCCGAGCCGAGCCGAGCCGAGCCGGCGCCGGCCGCACCAGGCACGGCAGCCCCACGCTACGTGCGGCATCCACCAGCCTATCTGAAATTCCACCAGCAGGCGCGAGGAGATTTTATCCTGGCAATGAAAGGCTAGGCGCGGCGGCTGTAGCTGCGGCGCCGATAGCGCGCGGCCTCCAGGGCACCGTTCGGCGTCCGGCGCGCGCCCCGTCATCTGCCGGGTGCCGGCGTCGGAGCCGGGGCCACTGCACGGCTCGGACGAGGCTGGGTTCGAAGGCCGCTGGCTCTGCGACGCCGCGAGCCATCGGCGAAAGCCCAGCCCATTACGCATGGCCGTGATCAATCAAATTTCCCACCGCGCCAAAATATAGCCTCGTCTGTAGGGCGGCGCGCCGCCGGCGGGCCAGCTCCACTGACCCCTGACCCCGGCGACGGGGTCCGACGGTGACGTCCCACGCGGACGGAACGTGACGTCACCGCCGGCGCAGCGGGCGTCTGAGCGGGACAGACGCGCCAGGCGCGCGCGCCAAACGGCGCTCGCGTCCGGCCGACCCCGACCGGGCCCCACTCACGGCGCGCTGGGCGGCGTCCGCCGGCGGCCACCGCCCCTCCCCGTGCCACCGCCGCAGGCGGACCGGCCGCGGCCGGCCGTGCTGGTCGCCGGGGGATGAGGCGTCCACGCCGCTAGCACTAGCCACGCCAGCGACGAGAAGTCCAGAGGAAGCGCCGAGTGTCACACCGATGCGGACGATCGCGCAGGTCGCGCGAAAACACGACATGGGCAGCAAAACATCGCTGTTTAAAAAGCCCATCGCGACTGGCGTCCGAGGGCTGAACTTTCGCATTGTGTTTTACATTGACGGCGGAAGAAGTCCCAATCTCCCTCTCGGCCGCCGGGCTGGCCTCTTCATGGAAAGTTTCTATAAATATGTCCTGAATCTGCCGTCATGTTTTGTGGAATACCAACGGATCATACGGCAAATGATCCCTGCGCGGATCTCAGATCAAACGGCATATGATCCCTGCGCAGATTTTGCCATCTCGTCATGGTGGATATTGATATGCAGCCCCTGTACCAAGCTCAGCACAAAATAGTGTTTTATTTTTTAGTTGGAAGGTCTATGAACGTTACGATTCAGCAGACAGCGACAAAAGCAGAAGGTGCAAGAAGAAGGAGGGACCATAAGAACCATGACATGACCTGACAGGTCCACCACGGCATGACCTGACAGGTCCACCATGGCATGACCTGACAGGTCCACCATGGCATGACCTGACAGGTCCACCACGCCTTACGCTCCTTTTTGTCCGTGCTTACGATGTACCAGTTAACTGAGAAGTCAGCATGCAACATTGGAATGGGGCCTAAACACACGCTATGTTTTGCAACGAGTGCTGCGAATCGTCACCGAGCTAATAACGAAGTAGAAATTTGAGCTCTACAGAAAAACTGATTCAAGGATTAAGCTTACTAGGTAAGAACAAGCAGGCGATAAGAAGACTAAGACGAGCATGGGCAAGTATTTGTACAGATCACCTGATAGGTCATCAACTTGAGCGCGTCAGCACATGTGGCAATAGCTCCACACAGCAGAGTGAGCGCACCAACAGGGCCAGCTCATACAACCGGATGTAAGGTCGCAGAATGCGACCAGACACTGCGGACATCATTTCAGAGTTCCGGTCCGAACCGGCGAGAACCGGCGAGAACTGGATCGAGCAATCAATACCGTGCGGAGCTTGGTATGATCGAGAAACTCAGGTGTCAAACATCAGTGGCTCGTGGTCAGTGGCACACAACCAGTGGAAGATCACTTTGCAACCAGCCCGCGTGCCGAAAACTGCAATGACGTCACACTTGAATGGCAAAATTTCGGTCTCATAACCGAAACATTGAGAGCTTTAAAATCGCTGCTGCTGTACTTGGTTTCCGTTCAATTCGCGCAACAGTAAAATCGAAAGAAAACGTGACTTCTTGCAAAAAGGGCTGTGACCACAACCCTACCGCCGATAGATCTTGGAACACGGCTGGCATGCTGAGGGAAGTACCAATCACGCCACGGCACAGAGCCACTCACAGACCTCAACCAAAGCAGTGGGCATGGCCTTCGCCGCCTATGCAACGTACTTATCGGTAATGCTACCCATCAACGTCGTCGCCCATTCCAGCACGCGCAACGCGTATCCCATCCAGTCATTTTGTGGGACCTCCCTACTGCTTAGGTCACTGGGTCGACCCGGCCACCTGCGCCGGTGGCGGCGTCAGCTGGGGATGTGGCAGCCACAGATGCACGGCCCCGCCCCCGCCGACGGGCCACCTGGCGCAGGGCGGGGGCGGGGCGGGCCGGCCGACGGCACCCTCCCACGCACAGCTGCGTCGCCGCCGGCCGGCCCGCCCAGCCCCGCCCGGCGGCGGCAGCGTCCCAAGTCAGGCGGCACGGCGCACACGCCGGCGAGGCTTCTAAAGGTGTAGATGCTTGCTGGAGGAAACAATAACCTCCACCCATAGGGCTTCAGGACAGGCTGCACCAAGCAGTGACACTGGTGTCAAAGCTATGCTCCAGGGAATTCGGCCAAGTGTTCTATAAAAATGTCTGCCGCTCTCCTCCGCTCCGCTGCCAAAGAGCCCATTTGGGCCTATCCTGTAAATCCATACTCCGTGATGCGTTGTTAGAACGGCTCGTAGGCATGTAACCGATCCCTGCCCGCCACCACTGGTATGTAGCAACTCCTATCCGCTATTTGTGAGAGGGATACCAAATGATAAGCGGGATCTCACTATGGGCACCGGTACTCCTGGCCTCGATATCATACACCGAAGCAACGGTCCGGCACCGGTCAGCCCCCCCCCCCCCCCCCCCCCCCGTCCGCTCGGTCCCAGATACCGTGTCCGCTTCGCGACTCAGACCGCAGAGCGAGACCTGACGCACGGCTGAGCTCTTCTGCGGCCGTTTCCGGGAGTCACACCTCCAGCGCCGGCACTGGGAGGTGATCTCGGGACAGCGGACCGCTCCTCCAACACCGGCGCTGAGAGGTGGTCCGGAGACAGCACGCCCCTTCTCTGAGCCCAGCGCTTCCAGCGCCGGCGCTGGGAGGTGGTCCCGGCACAGCGTACCGCCTCTCTGTGTCCCGCGCCTCTAGCGCCGTCGCTGGGAGGTGGTTTGGAGACAGAGAACCGCCCCTCTGAACCCCTCTAACGAGCAGAGCCACAGCTCTGCGGTCCCAACTCGCGCGGACTGCGCCGTGACGGCAGACAGAGCGCGCCGCGCGGCAGGGATGGCTGTGACACGCGGGCCGGCGTCACGCACTGGCGCTGAGCAAGCCCACCTGCAGCGCGATGATCCGGGCCAAACTCGTGGTGCTGGGCGAGCTCTTGCCGTTCGGCAGCTCGATCATGTTGTCCGGGAAAAATTGCTGAAACAAGAGGATACAAGTCAGCAGTAGGCTTCAGGTTTGTTGTTCATTGGATCGTCGGGAAGAGAAAACCCGACGTCATTTCAGGGACGGCAAACATATAAAAACAGGCGAAGGAAAATTATAGCTTTGTTGACTTTTTGAGAGTTCGATCCGAATCTTTCGGATTGCTGAATTTTGGGACGTGCTCACGCTAAGCAGTGCTTGTTCAGCGAGCCCTAAGCTCAACCATCCGATCGCGCAATTCCAGTTCAACGGCAGAATTGGGTGGCGAAAGTTTAACGGGCCGCAATGTTCGGCACGGTCCGTCTCACCCTCTGACGTCACCTGACATTTAGCGCGGCCGCTGCCACCGGCCGCAGGCCATACCTGTCCAGAACAAGTAGCGAGCGCTAAAAGCCACTCGAACTCACCCCGCCACGGGCGGATGAACCAGAAGGCAGACGTTCTACCCATCTGAGCCAACGGGACGGAATTCCGTCGTGTTCCTTTTCCTGTATCGCCATACCATTACTGAGTATTAATATCAAGCTTCTACATAGCTGGGGGTGGGGGGGGGGGACGAAACTAACCCCATCCTCCCGCACACACCACTTCCGTGCGCGCTGTGCATGTCGCCAGTCGACGTCGCAAAACGGCAAGCATTGGCAGGCGGCGTACTAGCTTAAAAATGCTCCTCTTCTGCGAAAACGACAAATTATGGCCTACGTGCACCACGACCCGTCTTTGAGATGTGCCAGCGAAACAACGGGCTTATCAGTGAAGTACAAAATTATGCGGCAGACATGACACCGGGACTGAGAATTTCGTGAGGAAAGAGAGCGACTGATATGGGCCGGGAGGCGAGTGGCAATGCGACGTGCTTCCAGCCCCGGTCATGGCCGTGCTACGTACTGTCATGAACACCTGCCTAGCAGATGTCGTACCCTTGCTCAGAGCATAGACATATAGCTTAACGTATAACACGCACGCGCCGCATACAGAGCAACAACGCTTGCCGCTTACACTGTAGAAAATCATAAGAAGAGGATACGCAAGGAGGGACGGCCCTGTCCGTACGTGTGGCGACCGGCAGCCCACGCGCCGCATCGCGCGCGCTGGGGGGGGGGGGGGGGCGACGGGGACGGGTGGATGACCAGGCAAAACGCGCTCTGCATGGGCGGCCTGCCTTCTGCAGACTGGCCTTGGCTCCACAGCCGTTCGCGCCGGCCTGGCATTTCCGCCCGGCCGCCGCCATTCCGTATGGGTTGCGCGGGCACAGGAGAGACGGGAGCAGACAGGGCCGATGGGCAAACGCGGGCCAGCCGGCGGCGGGCAGACGCGGGCCAACCAGCGGTGGGCACACGCGGGGGCCAGCCAGCGGCGGGCGCGCGGGTCAGCCGGCGGTGGGCAGGCCGCCCACCGGCCGTGCCTAGACGGGCCGAGCTCCAGCTGGCCGCGACGACTCGCGGGCCAGCAGCCAGCACCAGCGGGAGGCACACCCACGCTGGCCGTGAATATTCCGGGCGAGCGGCCAGCGCCGGCGCCCTTCAGACGGACGGCTGCCGGGGCACCTGGCGGGGTAGCCCGAGCTTGGGGCGCAGCGCAGGAGCTGCCTACAATCGGTCCACAACGACAGGCAGGGCAGGCGCACCGTTCAGCGACGCAAGAGACCCCGGAGGCGGAATGGCCGCACCGACTCCTCGAAAAGCAGCCCACTGACCTGGAGGCTGAGTGGTGACTAGCCGCAATGAACACCGGTTGGCCGTCGGGTACCGACCACCAGACGCCCGGGCGGTTTAGTAGCGACTCCGGGTGAAGGATCTCCTGTTCGCTGCGTCCTGGACGACGCCACATCGCGCCGTGCGTAACAACATCCCGTGCTCCTCCCCCTCCCCCCGCACCGGCCAGCTGCTCTCTCGACAGCTGTTCAGCTGACGGCCCGGCCACGGCCAGGGGGACGTCCGCCGGACGCTCGGATTGAATTGCCGCTCGCTCGGATCCAGACGTCCCAGCACACCTCAATATCGGCCAGGGGAACGTCCGCCCGACTTGGATCGCCGCTCGCTCAGATGCGGACGTCTCTGCACACCTCGCTGTCGGCCAGCCGGCACTAGGACGGCTGGTCTGGCGGTGGCGGCGCCCAGCCGGACGGACGCATCGGCAGCCGAGCGTCCGGACAGGGGGCATCGGCAGCCGAGCGTCACGACAGGGAGGCATCGGCAGCCGAGCGTCCGGACAGGGACGCATCGGCAGCCGAACGTCCGTGGCAGGGACGCATCGGCAGCCGAGCGTCCGGACAGGGACGCATCGGCAGCCGAGCGTCCGGACAGGGGGCATCGGCAGCCGAGCGTCCGGACAGGGACGCATCGGCAGCCGAGCGTCCGGACAGGGAGGCATCGGCAGCCGAGTGTCTGGACAAGGACGCATCGGCAGCCGAGCGTCCGGACAGGGACGCATCGGCAGCCGAGTGTCTGGACAAGGACGCATCGGCAGCCGAGCGTCCGGACAGGGGCACGGCGCCTCATGTCGTCACCGGCATGCACGCATTGAACACCGAACACCGAACACCGAACACCTAGCACGAGCACAGCTGCCCGTCTGGCTCAGCGACCAGACATACAGGCTGCTTGAGTGTTGCCGTCAGAGCCAGGCTTGGGGTTATGTGCCTTCGATTATTTGATCTTCATGTGCGCGTCAACGTCGTTATTGCATGATATTGCATAGTTTAGAACAGAGATTCACGGACAACGACGTCACCATGACAGCGAACGTCACTAGTGGTCTGCTCACATAGGCGTTTTTCCCCCGTGCGTCAGACGCGCGTCAAAAGCGAGTGACGTCATACAAGTATGACGTACAACGCATACCTGAGGCTGCTTAAATTGACATCCGAGAGAGCTTGATCATCGCAATAAAGGTCATGCCTAAGTTCCGAATGTTCGCTTAAGTCATGCTGAATATCCCGGTGTGCAAGAAAGCTGCAATCGATAAGCGACCGCTAATCGTCAACAAATACCACAGAAATTAGTCATTGAGTTGACATTTAATAACATTCCTAGGGCTTCTCGGGTTATTCTTCTCGAAAAGACAGACTAGGGTGGCCAAACGGGTGATGGGAAAAGAAGGCAAATCATGTGTGTGAGCGACAAAAGGTGTCGGAAACGACGACGACGGTGCAAAACGCTGACGCGGGGAGATGCTCGACTTGCAGCCAATTCAAAGTCAAGGGCTTTAGTACGTACGTCATAAGTTAATAGTACGCGCCACAAAATGCCTGTGTGAACAGATCTTCATAAAACACGATGGGGAAAGAGAGCAGGTCGGGGGTGGAGGGCACTTCACCCACGCACACTTCCCATGAGGGAGCAGCGGCGTCCCACGCGCCACACCTAAACCGAACTGTTCCGACACGCATGTAATACAACTGACCGCTGCGCGCCTGATATGTGACGATTAGGGAGTGGGAGGGTAACATGGGCGCCGGAAACGCCACAGCCTTGGCAGACACCTCCACAATCCTGGCCGACACCTCCACAACCCTGGCAGGCCCCTCTGCAATCCTGGCAGGCACCGCCCCCACCGCTAGGCCTCTCGCGCGCCTACGCGTCAACGCCGGCTGATAAGTCAGGGCCAGCCGCTTCCGCCGGCACGCATTCCACGCGGGTCACGGGGGGGGGGGGGCAGCCGCCCGAGGGCTCGCCTCAGCGGGGCCCGTCTCTCGCTCCGGCCGAGCCGCCGCGGTCACGGCGGCGGCGCCACGGCTCCCGCTGGTGCAGCTCGGCGCCAGCGTCGCTCCGCGTGCGCGGCGAGACTCGTAAGGCGCAGTGCTTCGGCGGCCAGCGAGAAACGTGAGCCCGACGAGCCCGTGCCATGGAGACGAGTCCGTGACACGGACACGGGTCCGGGACATGGAGACGGATCTGGACACGGACACGGGTCTGTGATACAGAGATGGGTCCGGGACACGGAGCCGGATCCGGGCGCGGAGACAGGTCCAGCACACGGAGACAGGTCTGGGACACGGAGAGGAGTACGGAACACGGACACGGGTCCGTGACACGGAGACGGATCTAGGCATGGACACGGGTCTGCGATGCGGACACGGGTACGGGACACGGAGCCGGATCTGGGCACGGAGACAGGTCCAGCACACGGAGACGGGTCTGGGACACGGAGAGGCGTCCGGGACATGGAGACGGGTCCGGGACACGGAGACGGATCCGGGCACGGAGACAGGTCCAGCACACGGAGACGGGTCTGGGACACGGAGAGGAGTCCGGGACACGGAGAGGAGTCCGGGACGCTGAGACGAGTCCCGGACACGGAAGAACATGATCCGGGCGATGACAGGAGGACGGGCTCTTATCAGTCTGGACTTATCAACATGTCGATCACCGCGCGTAGTCGTGGTCAAAATGAGATCTGAACCACGATCCCGCGTGGAATGAGGGAGGACCTCCAGGCGTTGGACCACCCTGTGCGGGACCTGTTTTGGGCCACGTACTACAGATACTAGACACGCTGAGGCTTGACGAACACCGTCACGACACCCCCTGCACCGATCTGATGTGGTTGGAATTATCCACTTCATCGTATGATTTTCACAACACGACAGCCATGGCCAGGTGACACAGATCCGTGGGATAAGCTTGCCGGGATATGGTAGTTTAAACGGCGGACGGCGCGTCATGAATGCAAAACCCCGCGAGCCCGACGTGATAATTTTTATCGCTGATTTTTATCGTTGAAAAACAATGTTGCAGGAATTATGCGGAAATTCTTAGCCAGTCACATTTCAGCCTTAGCAGGCTTTCGCCATCATTCCAATAGTTCGATACGTGATCACCTTTCAACCATAACTGGTCCAAAAGGCCTATAAGAATGTGGGGCAGCATGCAGCCAACCGGAGTCTGAGCGCTCAGACAGTGCGCAGTTTCCCCGAGCCTGAGCGCTCAGAGAGAGCGCAGTCTTCCCGAGTCTGAGAGCTCAGACAGGGCGCTGTTCCCCGGTGTCTAAGCGCCCAGACAATGCGCGGTCTCCCCGAATCTGAGCGTGCAGACAGTGCATGTCTAACGAATGCACGCCTTCATGCTCGAAGACAAGACCAGATTCGAGGTCCTAGCGCCGCTACCGTTCGCTCGCGCTCAACTGCGGCGACTGATTCGCCAGCACGCTGGCGCGCAGAGGCCTGCACCGGCGTTACGTGACCAGTCGAGTTCACGGTCACCATGCTCGTGGGCTCGTGAGCGGCTGGCCCAGACTGCCGAGTCACTGTCGCCTCACACTGCCAAGCTGCCAGGGCTGGGGGCGTTCGGCCCTCAGGCGAAGTCAGCAGAGTTACGGTCGTAATGAGCATGTATTTGTTTTGTTTAGTGAGGCGTTAAACGTAATTGGCAGAAACTGTACGGATTGACAAGACCCTCACCAGGTGGTGTTCAGAATTTTGCTCTGCGAGAATTGCATTGATAACCGAAGTAGCTTCGTCTCCGATGTATTTGCTTCTCCTGCACAG